AGGGAAAGAAAGAAAGAAAGAGGGAAGGAAGGAAGGAAAGAGGGAAGGAAGGAAGGAAGGAAGGAAAAAGAAATAAAGAAAGAAAGAAGAAAGAGAAAGAAAGAAAAGAAAGAAAGAAAAGAAAGAAAGAAAGAAAGAAAGAGAGAGAGAAAGATAGATTGCAGAAAGGCACCACTCACGGGGCTCTGACGTCAGAGCTTCCATATTCAAAGACTTAAAATTATGGTGGATTTTCCAGGGAAACAGATGGGGAATGTTGATTACCCCACCTTTATCCCCGTGGCTCTAGCCAGGAGGCATGTTTGGAGCTTGAGGCGAGGAGCTTCTGGGTTGAACAGAGACTGGCTAGGAAGGGACATCACAGCATTTCCTGATTCCCTGACAATCCCCACCTCCACCCCCTGCTTACCCGTGGCCATCACTGCATCAAGAAAGCAAAAGTGAAAAAGCAGAAAGAAGAGAGGTTAGTGGCAGAAATCTCAGTGCTACAGAGAGATAGAGAGAGGAGACAGGCTCACTCTACGCCCAGCACGCACTGCATTTCCCGCACTGCGTTTCCCGCACTGCATTTCCCACCAAGCATCACTCAGGGTGCTCAGGGGAGGCAGAGCTGCAGCTAGGCCTCTGGGAGTGGACTCGGGACAGGGCCCAGCCCGGGCCCCTGCTGACATTCTCCTGTCTGCTGGTGCCAAGTCACAGGTAGGCTGGTGAATCAGGCCTGTGACGTTGGCAGGTAGCGTGACGGGGAAGTGGCGGGCGTGCGGAAGGCCTGGTGCAATCCGGGTCCCTGCCACCACACTGCCTGCGGGAAGTGGTTGTGTCACAGCCACCTCCTGCTGTGCTCAGAGAGAGGGAAAGGTCAAAGAACTCGCCCCAGACACCCGGCCAAGGCATCTGACACCATGGGTCTCCTCCAGATGGCCAGAGCTGCTCTCCCTTCCACTCCAAGAAGCAGGGACCATGCCTGGGTCTGCTCCCCTTCCTTGGGCCATGGCCCCCCTTCCACAGAGGCCTGGTGGCCCCTGAGCTGCTGCTCTGAGTGGAATGTCTAGAGGCCCTTGGCTGATCCAGTGACTTAAGATCCACATGTGAGTCCTGGCTCTGACCCTGAACAAGTTAATCCATCATTCTAGGCCTCGTTTTTCAGTTGTATCTGACGATAGTATCTATCATAAATGATGATGTAAACAGATGATCGTATCTATTTAACTCCTAGATTGTTATCAAGTCAAGGACAACAACAGGAAAACATGTCACCTGTCAACTCTGTACAAAGGGAGGGTAGGATGGGTGGCCCCTGACTAGAGGGTAGGGGTGCAGGGGGCACCCAATCCATCTGGCCAGCCACAGCCTCTGTACCCTGCTCCCATTTTCAGGCCTCAGTCCCCAAGAACTATTGGCCCTGGACTGTCTTCCCCTCTCAGTTCTGGTTTCTCAATGCTTCTTCCCAGTAAGTGCTACACTCTGAGGGTGGGTGGGAGAGTGAGGCAGCACTGCCTACTTTGGCTGGGCCTGGGCACTGCTGGGGACAGCACAGGCCACGTCTTCCCCATCTCAAGACTGCATTTTTGGCCGGGCGCGGTGGCTCAGGCCTATAATCCCAGCTCTTTGGGAGGCTGAGGCAGGTGGATCACTTGAGGTCAGGACTTTGAGACCAGCCTGACCAACATGGTGAAACCCTGTCTCTACTAAAAATACAAAAATTAGCTGGGCATGGTGGTGCACGCCTGTAACCCCAGTCACTTGGGAGGCTGAGGCAGGAGAATCACTTGAACCTAGGAGGCGGAGGTTGCAGTGAGCCTAGATCACACCACTGTGCTCCACTTGTGGCTCATACCTATAATCTCAGTACTTTGGGAGGCTGAGGTGGGACAATTGCTTGAGCCCAGGAGTTTGAGATCAGCTTGGGCAAAATAGTGAGACCTCGTCTTTATGGAAAAAAAAAAAAAAATTAGCCAGGCATGGTGGCACACACAGACACTTAGGAGGCCGAGGTGGGACGATCCCTCGAGCCCATGAGTCGGAGGCTGCAGTGAGCTATCAGTGGCACCACTGCACTCCAGCCTGGGTGGCAGAGCAAGACCCTAAATCAAAAAAAAAGAAAAAAGAAAAGGCAGCCTTTTCCCAGCTGGCAGCCCCCTGGCTAGTTAGGGTTTCCCCGAATCTGCACTCCTGTTTGATGGCGGGTCTCAAACGCTGGGAGGCAGCAGAGTCACCGCTCAGCGGCAAGACCTGGAGTCTCCATTTGGAACCAGCAGCCGGGAGCCTCTGCTGTGGGTGGTCGTGGGGCCGTACACGGAGGTGATGGCTCTGGTGGTTCGAGCCGTCCCTCAGCGGCACGGCACACTCGTTCCTGGGGAGCCGCACAGTTCCTGAGTATGCGGAAAGTGACTCGGACTCTGCGGCCGCCTCTCGGCCACAGCTGGGGGGCTATGGGTGTTGGGTGTAACAGGTCACAGAAGGAGGATGGGGAAAACCAGTGCTTCATCTGCCACAGACCGATCTGCCTGGCCTGACTTCCTCTACTTCTCGAAATTGACTTTTTGAACCTGGGAAGCAGTTGGAAAAATTCCCCTTGGGCAGCAAAAGATTTCTCAGCGAGCCTGAGTGAAAGACGCTGCAGCAGCAGGGAGAGGCGCCTTTCGAGGGCCAGGGACCGGCTCTCTCGGCACTCCGGGGTTTCCACCACTCCAGAGCTGAGTGTTTATCCGGCCGGGCGTGGGGGTTTCGCCTGTAATCCCAGCACTTTGTGGGGGCAAGGGAGGAGGATCCCTTGAGCCCAGGAGTTCAAGACCAACCTGGGCAACAGAGCAAGACCCCATCTCTGCAAAAAATTTAAAAATTAGCTGGGCGCGGTGGCATGCACCTGGGAAGCCCTAAGAGGCCAAGGCTGCAGTGTTCGCACCACTGCCCTCCAGCCAAAGCAACGCAGGAAGAGACCCTGTCTCAAAAAGACAAGGAAGAAAAAGACATGATAGATCAGGGTTCCCCAAAGTGTGTTCCACAGATTTTTTTTTTTTTTTTTTTTTTGGAGACACAGTCTCGCTCTGTCGCCCAGGCTGGAGTGCAATGGTGCAATCTCAGCTCACTGGCTCACTGCAGCCTCCGCCTCCCCGGTTCAAGCGATTCTCCTGCCTCAGCCTCCTGAGTGGCTGGGATTGCAGATGCCCCCCACCACGCCTGGCTAATTTTTGTATTTTTAGTAGAGACAGGGTTTCACCATATTGGCCAGCCTGGTCTTGAACTCCTGACCTCATGATCCACTTGCCTCAGCCTCCAAAAGTGCTAAGATGACAGGCGTGAGCCACCACGGCCGGCCGAGACTCCCATTTTCACAGTAGAACTGGCCCTTATCTGGTTCCCTTTGCTATCTTTTCCTTTTGTTAAAGCTGGATTTCTCATCTCCTAAAAACCTGATAACTGCTTCTTCACAAGGCCTAGGGGATCTTCACCTTGATAAAAACAAGTAAACCCTGGGGAAAAGCTGCACGCCAGGGAGGCTGGGGATGACTAAGGCTGACTCAGCTCAGGCCGTGGGGGGAAGTCCTGACTTTCTCTGTAGAATCAAAACCTCTCATCAGCGGAAGACCTGTGTTGTTTGGAAAAGTGGAGTGTGGGTTATCAGCTGTGTTTGCTGGAGCTGACGAGCCTCAACCAACCACAGGCTCCGAGGAAGCCTCTGCCCCGCCCCGTTTCGTGGCGAGGGATGCAGAGCCCAGCGTGGGCCCGTTGCCCCAACGTCTCCCCCACGTCCTGACCTTGACGTCCAGGGTGTCCACGCACCCACCGTGCCACTTTCTGGGAGGACTTCGGGCTTGACCTGCCGTCTTTCAGCCACGCTCAGGTGGAGGGTTCTGCTCCGTTTTCGTTTACAGACACACACGGCAACCCTCCCCCTCAGGCGCTGGAAAACACACCCCCACCCCCCACACCCAGGCAGCTATTTTGGTCCTTCCCTCCCTCCTGGACCAGGAAACCCTGATGGGGACACGAAGGAACAGTTGGGGCTGGCTGTGATGAAACAGCTCTGACAGGCAGGCGGTGCCTGGGATGCGGCCTTTCCGTGGCCCTGCTTGCCTGGCTCAGCTGAACACATTCTGGCCGGTGGCCAGCGGGCTGGGCTCAGGCCGGGGAGGGACAGTGACCGAGGCTGCCCGGGGCGCCCACCTGTCTTCTGGTCGCCGCTGACCAGGAACTTGAGGATGTTGTTCATGGCGCCCATGTAGAAGATGAGCCGCAGCTGCGTGACGCACATGGTGACGAGGCTGAGCAGCAGGATAGGGCTGAACACGCTGTGCATGAAGGAGGGGGCCGCTGCGGGGAGAGGGTGCGGGGCTCAGGGCCGGGGCTCACTGTCCCCACCACGGGGGCCGTGCAGTTCCCTCCACACTGGAGGCCCGGAGGGGGCCCCTTGGGACGGGACGGGCCGGGCCTGGTGAGGGTGACGGGGTTGGTGCTGCACTGGGGATGCCTCGTGTGTGAAATCAGTTAGGCAAATCCCTTTCCCTCCCCCAAGCCTTCCGGAGCGCCTCTGCAGGACAGGGCAGGCAGGGCCGCCTCCCCTTTTGGGGTGAGGTGGGAACGGGGTGAGCCGACACCCACGGAGCACTCCCTGCCCGTCGCTCGGCTGCGGTCTCAGGAGGGTACCTGCGGCGTCCGGCTGGCACTTCACCTCCAGGTCGACGGTGGACAGGCACAGCTTGTGGCCCTCCTGCAGCGCCACCTGCTCCTTGGCACTCCTCATGGAGCTGCCCACGCTCAGGCGCCGGCCCACCGTGGTCACCTGCTTGTAGAACTGCTTCCCTGTGATCTTGTGGTCAAAGCCCAGCCAGCTGAACTTGATCTTCACCCTGCGGTCCCGGGAGAGTGTCTGAGGGTGCTGCCCGGGGCCCCGGCTGGGGGGCGGGGGGCAGGCGGGACGGGGGCACCTCTACTTACGAGTAGTCCATGTCCTCTGGGCCCGGGAAGGGCTCCAGGGGCCAGTTAAAGAAGCAGTTGAGGAAAACCAGCCCGGAACAGCCGGCCCAGACCACGAGGATGATGATGAAGGAGACACCAGCATCGTAGATGAGCTAACGGGCACCGCGGGGACAGGGTGGGGTCGGGAAGGGGCAGAGTTAGCTCAGGGAGGCCAGAGCCGCGGCAGGCAGGAGCATCCGGCCGCCCCTGCTGTCCCTGCGCTGAGCCGTGTGAGGAGGCACAGCCCTGCCAGCCTGGGCGTTGGGGCATCAGGCACTCGCCTTCCAGTCTTCCCACCGTGCCTGCCCTGCTGGTTATCTGGACCTGGCGTGTCATTAGCCCCCCAATGTGGAGGCCTTCCTGACCCCCTCATCACGATCACAGCACGTCTTGCAGGCTCAGAGTGATCGGCCCGGCAGAGGGGACGGTGCTTCTGGTCCATCAGCTTGTCTGGCGTTAGTGGGTGGGGCTCCCTGAAGGCAAGAGCCTTCCAGAAGCATCCACTGACGCTTCCCCAGTGCCCTTGAGAGCTCACATGGCAGAGGCCAAAGAAATGCTCAAGGAGGCCGGGCGCGGTGGCTCACACCTGTCATCCCAGCACTTTGGGAGGCTGAGGTGGGAAGATCATGAAGTCAAGAGTTCGAGACCAGCCTGACCAACATGGTGAAACCCCGTCTCTACTAAAAATACAAAAATTAGCCAGGTGTGGCAGTGGTCGCCTGTAGTCCCAGCTACTTGGGGGGCTGAGGCAGGAGAATCACTTAAACCCGGGGGCGGAGGTTGCAGTGAGCCGAGATTGCGCCACTGCACTCCAGCCTGGGCGACAGAGTGAGACTCCGTCCCCCACCAAAAAAGGAGGAGGAGGAGGAACTTTTGGGATCCTCCCCGCTCCAGGGGCGTGAGAATCTCTGCAAGTCTATAAGACGGCTGGCCCCAGAGTCCCAGCGCCCACCACTTCAATGCCCAGGTGGCCAGCCCACACCATGACCCCCTCTCCTCGCCAGCAGCATTCCCACACACACCCCTGAGGAACGGGGCTTTTACTTAGTGTGAGGGCCAGAGGTGGGAGAAGCCCCTACGGGGCCCTGGCAGAGCCACAGGGTCTGGGGAACTCAGGCTGATGGACTGTGAGGTGTTTGCTTCGTCCTGACCCTATGTGACTTCCACAGGCTCAAAATCCTGCCTGGGAAACAGCTGAACCACTTGGCCAAGAGCAGTGCTTTGGCTGGCGGGGAGTAACGGCACAGTAACAGCAGGCTGGGGGCGGGGGAGCCAGGGGAGCAGGGGGAGACAAGGAAGATGGAGGAGATGGGGGCTGGACTCACAACTGGAGACAAACTCACCCACTGCCCTTTCCCTGCCCCAGCCCAGAAGTGCAAAGGCACCTGCAGCAGATCCTGCAGCCACATGCGTGAATCCTGTCCCCTGAGGCCCCGCGGTTTACAGCTCTCGCTCCTGTGACGCCCAGGTGCATCCTGCCCGGGTGGGGGTGGTGAAGAGGGGCCACCCCCGGTGCCCACAATTGCCTCTCTCTTCAGAGAGGGCGGAATTAGCCTGGAGCAGGCCTCTGCACAGACACCAGTGCAAATTACACGTGCTCACCTTGATTCCTGGAAAGGTGACTGCCGAGGAAGCGTAGGACCCAATCATCAAGGCTATAAACGTGGACCGAAGGTCGCCGAACATGTTGGGCAACTGAGAGATAAAAAGCAGAGAAAGCTCGGTAGGGAGGATGCACTGGGGAAGGGGAGGAGGAGGGGACAGAGAACTAGGCCCCATCAGGCCTCTTCTTCACCTGCCCCTTCCTGTGTGACTCACAGGGGCATTAGTTCAGGGGCAATGATCGCTCACTGAAGGTTTCTCTTTCCTGGACTGAGGCTGATGAGGGCGAGGAGAGAGGTAACGCAGAATACAAGCAGTTGTCTGACTTTCCGGCTGCCAACCCTCCCCATCTCGCTGCTCCTGGCAGAGCCAAGGAGCCTTCCTGTCTTCTCAGGGTAACACAGAGATGCCAGAGAACAAAGTTATGAGCCTCAGGCAGGCCTCAAAGGGAGAAAGCCTGTTAAAAATAAGAATCTATTTGGGGATAATAGCGTCATTTTATAAATAAAAATATCAGCATCCCAGAAAGACCAGATGTCAGCAAAAACTGCTTTTGGTTTGGAGAGGGTAGGTTTTTGGAAGATGTCAATCAGAATTCTACAGTTCTCTTTGGTCTGAGGATGAAGCTGGCCCAGGATTCCTGCTTCTGAATTTCTTTTCTTTTCTTTGTTTTGAGATGGGGTTTCACTCTTGTCGCCTAGGCTGGAGTGCAGTGGCGTGAGCTCGGCTCATTGCAACCTCCGCCTCCCTGGTTCAAGCGATTCTCCTGCCTCAGCCTCCCGAATAGCTGAGATTAGAGATGCCCACCCCCATACCTGGCTAATTTTTGTATTTTTAGTAGAGACGGGGTTTCACCATGTTGGCCAGGCTGGTCACAAGTGATCTACCCACCTCGGCCTCCCAAAATGCTGGGACTACAGGCGTGAGCCACCGTGCCCGACCTCCTGCTTCTGAATTTCTCAGTGCAAGCAGGGGATTCTCTTCCCACAGGATGTTTTGCCCTAGCAGTTAGCATCCGAGAAGGCCAACGGGAAGAAAGGCCCGGGCTCTCTTCCCAATGAAGCCACTCTCAGTATCTCACATCAGCTCATTCTGGGTACAGGGCAAGAGGGGGCCCACCTGAATAGGACTTCAAGGCTAACTTGCTGATTCTACACAAATCCAGGCCGAGGGCAAACCACATCCTCCCAAAGAGGCACAGCTCCTCTAACCTCAGGAGAGAGCACACTGTGTAGCAAAGCTTTCCTGTCCGCACCCAGCGTCCCTGGCCTTGGGAGCTGCTCTCTGGATAGCTACGCAACCTATTCCATTGAATTCAGGCTGCTTATGGGGACTTAATCTACGTCTCCCCCAACCCTCCCCACTACTCCCCATTTGTCTTGAATCTTTTTTTCTTTCTTTCTTTTTTTTTTTTTTGAGACAGAGTCTCGCTTTGTCGCCCAGGCTGGAGTGCAGTGGCGCTATCTCGGCTCACTGCAAGCTCCGCCTCCCGGGTTCAAGCAATTCTCTTGCCTCAGCCTCCCAAGTTGCTGGGACTACAGGCGTGAGACACCATGCCCAGCTAATTTTTTTATTTTTTTTTTTTTGAGACGGAGTCTCGCTCTGTCGCCCAGGCTGGAGTACAGTGGCGCCATCTCCTCTCGCTGCAAGCTCCGCCTCCCGGGTTTACGCCATTCTCCTGCTTCAGCCTCCCGAGTAGCTGGGATTATGGGCGCCCACCACTGTGCCTGACTAATTTTTCTGCATTTTCAGTAGAGCCGGGGTTTCACCGTGTTGGCCAGGATGGTCTCGATCTCCTGACCTGGTGATCCGCCCGCCTCGGCCTCCCAAAGTGCTGGGATTACAGGCTTGAGCCACTGCGCCCACCCACCAATTTTTTTTTTTGGATGCAGTCTCGCTCTGTCTCCCAAGCTGGGGTGCAGTGGCGCGATCTCAGCTCACTGCAACCTCTGTCTCCTGGGTTCACGCGATTCTCCTGCCTCAGCCTCCCAAGCGGCACCTCCCATTGCAGGTATGAGACACCGTGCTCAGCTAATTTTTGAAATAACCAATTTTTTAAATGGGCAAAGGGACTGAATAGACATTTCTCCAAAGAAGATACACAAATGGCCAATAAGCATATGAAAAGATGCTCAACACCATTAATCATAGTGAAATGCAAATCAAAGCCACAATGAGACACCATTTGATACCCATTAGGGTATGAAAAGTCATAGTGAGGCCGGCGCCGTGGCTCACGCCTGTCATCCCAGCACTGGGCGGCCGAGGCGGGCGGATCACAGGGTCAGGAGTTCCAGACCAGCCTGGGGAACATAGTGAGACCCCGTCTCTACCAAAAATACAAAAACTTAGCGAGGTGGAACATGCCTGTAATCCCAGCTACTCGAGAGGCTGAGGCAGGAGAATCGCTTGAACCTGGATGGTGGAGGTTGCAGTGAGCCGAGATCGCGCCACTGCACTCCAGCCTGGGCGACAGAGCAAGACTCCATTTAAAAAAAAAGAGGCCAGGGGGCCGGGCGCAGTGGCTCACACCTGTAATCCCAGCACTTTGGGAGGCCGAGGCGGGTGGATCACGAGGTCAGGAGATCGAGACCACCCTGGCTAACACGGTGAAACCCCGTCTCTACTAAATATACAAAAAATTAGCCGGGCGCGGTGGTGGGCGCCTGTAGTCC